AGAGAGAGAGAAAGGAGGGAAAGGAAAAAAAAACAAGAACAACAAACCTTGTTACGATGGAACGAATAAATTGATAAAACGACGAGGGTTCTCCGTAACCGAAGTCTAGCGAAGTACTTTCATAAAGTTGGATTTTCGTTGGAGATCTCGTTGGTGTCCTGACCTTGCGTGTCATTTCCAGACTTTCCGGGATCTCTGGCTTGTTCGAAGGTAATTGAAAGTGCAGGAAGAAAGATGAAGTGCAAGCGGGTCGTAAGTTTGTCGAAAGCTTTCGATAGACTTCCAACGAGCGCCATCGGGTGAAAATCGTGCGTCGCTGATCGTTGCACATCATATTAAATTTCACGGCACGTGAACCAAATTAATTCTCTTCGCCGTGTAAGGATCCAGCGATCCGTGAATACCCGAGAAGTGAAATTACCGGAGGGCGAGGGGGAGAGGGGGGAGGAGTTTCGGCTTCAAATCTCGATCCAGATTGTCAATTTCACTCTATTTTGAAATGTTCCCACTGCTAACTCGAACAAGTCCATTTCTCTTATCTCTAATCTTACATTAGATTCTCTGTTCTGTCAGAAAGGAATTATGCGTAATTATAAAATCCTACAGAAACGATTGTTAGTGAAGCGTACCACCAGGTACTCATAAGGTACAGCTTCGTTCGAGTAAACTTGCAGCTGAAACCCGCGAAACTCGATAAAGATTTTGCTAATAAACTTTCCCTTTATCCATATTCTCGAAAGGGGGAGCTAAAGTTGTTAAATCATTTTCACGAGAAAATACGATTGTCGAGACGTTAAACGTCTGTCTAATAATCTCACCAGTTACTATTTTCTGTTTTTTATTTATACATGCGTTTCCCATCTATAGTAAATTCCGATAACGAACGATTTGTCGCGATGAGAGGAATGCTCGATCGACGGACCGTAGGAAAAAGCAACGGAGCTACGTTTAGAACACCAGAAACGTCTCTAGCCCGTTATTTCGAAATTTCTGCTCCACGAAGATTATTTCCCAATTCCCAAAATACACGAACGCGAGCAATTCAGAAGCTAGACCGACCAGTTTCATCAAGCTGGCTATATTTGGCCTCTAAACAATTAACGCGAATAGTATCGGTGAATTCCAAATCGTTTCGAATCGTTCGACTTTCCTCTGCGAAACCGATCCCAACCGAAACGACTGCGGGGAAGACCTGAAAGAATTCCAACTAATTTTCATGAACACCGCTTACCAGCTGTTCTCCTTCCGATCCGCGTAATACATTCCATTTGCGAAGAGCCGTAAGATTTTCACCGATGCTTCTGTTGGCAACGGTGGGCAAAAAGACGAAAGAAAGAGAGAGAGAGAGAGAGAGAGAGACGGAAAAGAAGAGTAGTACGTGTCGATACAAGCGTATGTAGGCTCGTTTGAATAAAAGATCGTTTTGAGAATCAGCGCGCGACGACCTTCGGGAAGGGGCGAGCTTTCTACCGGAGCAAAAATCGGGTATCGACTGATGGTTAATTCATGGTGGCAAGATCCCGCCGGACGAGCCGAGATAAAAAGGGATCCCCGATAGTGATAAAATACGTTTCGAGGCGTGTGCACGCTCTGTTCTCCACGTGCGCGCCAGTTCTGGCACACCCTGTTCGGCCACATTCGAATTTCCTCCGTTTTCTCATCTCTCACGTGCCGATGTACACGCATTTTATGTTTATTCCAACCTGTCGTACATCGTGAAAATTAACCCGGTTGCCTGGAGATTCACCGGGCGTCGGCCAATACTCGTTCGGAATTTCAAAGTGCAAATAAAATGGCCATCGACGGTGTTAACTTCGGGTCGACGTTCGCTCGAAATTTAATCTCTTCAAACGACAATTAACCCTTTACCCTCGAAAACTGTTTTTCTTTTTGTATGTATCATCTATCAACAATTCATTTACGAAGCATCACTTCCAACGAAATGATATAGCATTAGAAATAATCATCCAATTTATTGACTATGTCTTCCTAACATGTGATATCGTTTAAACTTTAAGCAATCATCAACGTGCATTGCAGGTTTGCTAGAACAAATATAACACACAACAGCTAATGATACACAGTTTCAACCTATGGAAAAATA